TCAAGCAAACCACTTCTGAAGATGCAAGCCACTCGTGCTTGCGAAACGTCAGGAAGAAATTCTACCGAACGACGGCCTAAAAACCCATTAGTTTTTGAATGAATTTGAATCGATTCTCAGTGAAATGTGGATAGTAAAATAATTGCGCCGAAGCCTAACACACATAGTAAAGTCGCGATCGGACGAAGTCAATTCGAGTACTTACAGAAACTTGGGAACAGGAAATCCGCTCACTTGGCACGTCAACCAAGCGGTCCCATTGGAGTTAACATTTAAGACACGCCAGCCGCCAAATTCCGCGCCCACTTTCTTAGGGGCGACATTATTAGTGGGCTCTAAAGGAAACACGGAAACTATTCAGGCTCTTGCCCACTGAATCACCTGCATGTTGGGACAGAGTTCCTTCCCATTGGAACCAGGACTTGCTTAAGTTAAACAGAGAATCGGCAAGTTGAACCTACCTGAAGGCCGGAACCGGATACCCGACTACTTCGCAAGTGAGCACGGTAGTGAGATTTAAAGCTGTGAGATAAATTTTGCCTCCGTCGTACTTTTGCCCGGGCACTTTGGGCGCAATTTTCCCAGTCGGCTCTAAAAGAATTTTAATGAAAAGCGCCAAACCACTTGACTAAACACCCCGATTAAAGAGCATGGTTAGTAAGTAATTTACCTGAATATTGGAGTTGGTTGGCCTTGCGCCGGACAGAGCAAGGCAAAGCTCTTGCCAAGCTCCTTGTCGAACACACGGATAAAGCCTTTGGATTCCGTAGCAAATGTAGGAGCTTTGGAACTAATGGGTTCTACACACGTAATCCCAGAGGATCTCAAAATCGGGTAGCAAAAATAATGGTACCCTTGTGATGGGATAGACTACATTAAACTGCGAACTTACTTAAATGTGGGAGTCGGAAACGCTTGAGCGGGACACAGTAGGGCAAACGTCGATCCCCTGGGCCGTTTAATGATCAAAATTTGGGACTCAAACGAAAAGGACGGAGCTCTGGATCCGACTGGCTCTAAACAAGCAAATAGCCCTAAATGGCGGCCGTTCTACCCAGGGATGCTGAGAGCGAGTAATGGCCTGCTTCACTCGGCGCGAAAAACTTACACACTTACTTGTAACCAGGCTTGGGAAAGCCTTGAGCTGGACAGAGCAAGGCCACGTTAACGCCTTGGGCCCGCTTGAGGCTTGAAATGTCCGATTCCGAAGACAATGCTGGCCTCCTTGAGCCTACCGGTTCTGGCAAAACATGCGCCTCATTAAACACTACCCCTAGTAGGCACCTCACCTGAATTTGGGAGTAGGAAATCCTTGAGCTGGACAAATTAGGGCTACATTACCACCGAGTGGGTACTTAAGCTTCATGGAAATTATTTGGGACTCTGTGGAGAAAGTCGGGGCTCTCGACCCCACTGGTTCTAGAAGTTTACATTTAAAACAGCGCGGCTTTGCAAGCAGTTGTTGGGTACCCTTGACTCTCCGCGGACTGTTGAAGGGGTAGAAAKCAGAAATACTTACTTGAAGAAGGGWCTGGGAAACCCTTGAGCGGGACAGAGCAAGGCCAAAGTGGTGCCCGTGGGCCGCTTCATAGTGTATACCTCAGATTCAGTGGAGAAAGAGGGCGCCCGCGAACCGACAGGCTCTACATGGAAGAACACCAAGTACTTACTTACAGTGTGGTCTAGGGAACCCTTGCGCTGGACACAACAAGGCGAAATTAACCGCCAATGGACGGTCCATGGTGAAAATTTTTGATTCAGTGGAAAAGGAGGGGGCCCTGGATCCCACTGGCTCTATATCCAGAAAAAGACGCGGTCAACCGACTAGTAAGCACTCTTAGGTGGCATGCTTTATACAAGTGGTGGCCTGCAGGGCGCGTGTGAGGTTTACCTGAATGCTGGAACGGGCAAACCTTGAGCAGGACAGAGCATTCCGAAGCTTTGCCCTTGACTTCGGTCGTAACCCAGCAGTTTAATGTCGTTGGAGAAGGTGGGAAGTTTGAAGCCTATGGGCTCTATAAAAAATTAACCTTGAAGTATCCAAGACGAGTTGGATCAACTTGGGCAAATGCCAGGTGGAGGATGCTGCGCTTGGCAAAGATGTCTAGCCTGTCTATGCAAATTTACCTGAATGAAGGTACGGGGAATCCTTGCGCCTGGCAGAGCACAGGAACGTCAAAGCCAGACTCTCTTTCAACAGATTTCAGTTTTGAGTCTGCTTGAGTTAGTTTGGGCGCTCTGGTGCCAACTGGCTCTAATCACGGAAAAACTAGTTTGATTTGAACATTGATTACCTGAAGGACGGAACGGGGAACCCCTGAGCTTGACACAAAATCGGAACATTCAAGCCCGCAGGTCGGAAGGCAACTTTGAAATTGGCATCGGCCTGCGTGAGCTTCGGGGCTCGAGTGCCAACAGGCTCTTAGAAAAAAACAGGAAAACCTTGTCTTAGGCCATTGCAATGAATTACCTGAACGATGGTGTGGGAAACCCTTGAGCCTGACACAACAGAGTCACCCCATGCGTTAAGTGTTTTTCGATAGTTGTGCTCCTCACATCGGAGGAAAGGGTGGGCGCTCGCGAACTTATCGGCTCTATAAAGAAACGCGCGTCAATTTACCTGAACTTTGGCGTGGGAAACCCCTGACTCTGGCACAACAGTGCCACGTCCTCTGTTACTCGGCACTCAAACCACAAAGTTTTCGCATTCGACAACAACTTCGGGGCTCGCGTACCCACCGGTTCTATAATAAATCAAATTACCTGAAGTTGGGAGCGGGAAATCCTTGGGCGGGGCATAGCAAGGATAGGGTGGACCGTTCACTGTACTCGATCACATCATATTTTGATTTGGAGGACACTTTCGGCACAGTGCTACTTATGGGCTCTAGAAAAATCACCATAAGGCAGCCACATTTACATGTTAACTATATTGTCGCCACCTCGCTATCGGGACGGGGTTATCTTGCGCAGGACAGTGCAATTAACGCATATGTTTTAAGAATAACATCCAGTGGAACGAGACCATATTTAGATCACCCAGTATAATCATCAACGCCACAGGGGATTTAGGACTCGGTGAAAGAAACGAAAGAGGGGTTCTGCCAGGATCATAACTTACTACTCAGTAACACCATATTCAAACTCCCCCCTCGCAGAATCTACATGTGGAAATCGCCAGCAGACTCTGCGGAAAAAACAGTTAGAAATCAAATCGACTATATAGCTATACCCAACAGATTCCAAAACTCAATAAGATCTGCAAAAACCTATCCAGGAGCA